TCATGAAGGATAATGAGAATGTCTTAGGTTGTCTCCAATCCTGGAGTGTGACATCATTCACACGCACCACAGTGCTTCTGGGCTTCACTGCCCATACAATACTGGGCTGATAAATTCTAGGGCTGACCCATTATGCCTCTGGATTTCTTTGGCTGCTTTCAATTGTCCCAAATTCTACGACACAAAATGCTACTAATGACAGCAATTTATTTTAAAAAGAAGTGAACCAGGACTTAAACATTGAAGTGGGTTTGTCCCCTTTAAAATGGTCAGTTTTCATTTGCATGAAAAAATGTAACCAACAAATAATATACACATATGGCAATAAAATTTAGTTAAAAATAGTAAGTAGGGGCTTCCTGTGGTGTGGCTTCCGGGCATCTCGGCGGAGACCGCGTCCCTTCTCCCGCTCTCCCTCTGCGCTGCGCCCCAAACTGCACCGTGAGGCCCCCCGCTCGCCGTAACCCCCAACCTCGCTGAAGGGAGCCCGAGGGCCTGGCTCCTTCGGTTTGGCCTCTCCCGGAGTTTTTATCCAGTGGTTTCCTCCAGCCGGTGAAGTCTCTCCCACCGGCTCCTCCCCGCACCGCGCACCCACTGACATTCCACCCCATGCATTTCAGCGCTACCGACTCAGCTGTTGATCTATTACTTTGCATTTGGAGGCCATCAGGAGCACACTGCTCTATTTTTAAACACGCCTTGACGTAGATGTACTTTTAAAATTACTTTCAGGTAGATACCTAGGGTTCAAATTGCTAAGCTCAAAAATGAGTGCAAATGTAACTTTATAACAAGTGCCAAACAAGCCAGGTTCCTCGAATCCCAGCTTATCGGGGAGGCTGAGGCAGGAGGATCCTTTGAGTCCAGGAGTTGCTGCCCGGCCTGGGCAAAATAGTTAGACTCTGTCTCAAGAAATGAAATAAAATGTCCAAGGTGCCGAATAGCTTTGCAGGGTCTGACGAGGGTGTGTGCTCCCGTTCTGTGCTGCTCGGCGGCTTCCTGCGTCCACCGTCCTAGTGGGCTTGTGGTGCATCTGCCTGGGGTGTTGGCGTCCATGTCTCCCCTCTTCTTTCTGGCTTTTGGAGACAGGGTCTCATTATGCAGCCCAGGCTGACCTGGAATTCATGGCAATCCCCCTGCCTCAGCCTCCCCAGGGTGGGATGACAGGCCTGCACCACCATGACCTGTTCTTATTAATAAATTTAACAAGTTCTTTATATATTCCTGACAGATATCCCTCCTCAAATACGTTTTGACTTTTGAAACCGGGTGCGGAGGTATAGGCACCATGTGACCAGGACCCTTTCCCTCCATGTGGCCGCTGCACGCCATCAGCCGGGACTCGGCCCGCGGCCAAGGTGCTGTTCCGCGTGTCCCGAGGACAAGACCAGCGCAAAGGCCAAGGCTCAGCGTCCTGCCCGGTGGCAGCTGTGTGCCAGGCCTGGCAGGGCCCGGAGGCGGGGCTTCTGCGAAGCGGAGGGGAGGAGTCGGGAGGACGGAGATCAGTTTTGTGCCCTGCCGCTTCCCCTGAGGAGCGCCAGGACTGTGCACTAGTAAGAATAAAAGGTTTAAAAAATCACCAGGCCACCTGTCATTCCAGCAGTGTGGAGGCTGAGGCAGGAGGATCTCAAATTCAGCCCAACCTGGGCACTAAGTTATTTAGGGAGCCTCTGTCTCCAAGTAAATAACAAGAAGGGCTGAGGATGGAGCTCCGTGTGGAGGCGCTGGGTCCAATCCCCAGTAGCAGGAAAAGCGTGCTGGAGCAGACCTGGAGCCCGCGTGGGTCTGAGAGCGTCCCCAGCACGGCCGCTGCTTTTTCTTTCTTTCTTTTTCTTGAGACAAGGTCTTGTTCTGTAGCCCAGGCTGGCCTCGAACTCACGGCGCCTCTCCTGCCTCAGCCTCCCCCACCACGTGGCCATCACATCTGGCTCCTTCATTTTATTTCTGATTCAGGAGAGATACAAAGAGCACACAAAGATTTCCCCCGCCCTGCCGATTGCTGTCTTTCTCAGAGGGAGCCGGGCTGGGCCCGTTTCCTTGGCTTTTCCTCGCGATCGTCCTGGGCGCGGTTCAGCCGGTACCAGAACCCGAACCCCGCCCAGGAAACCGCAGGCAGACAGCGCCTCCCCTCGGTGACTGTTTACTCCGCATCCGCAGGAAGAGTTGTTTTCAACCCAGGGTCCAGGCTTCGCCATTAGGGGGCGATGTTGCCCGCGTTGAGAATGCACAGCCGGGAGAACCGAGGCCATGACACCACAGCCTAAGGATTCTGACGGTGAAGCTGGACACCTCTGTGATCCCAGCACTTGGGAGGCTGAGGCAGGAGGATCAAAAGTTCAAGGCCAGCCTGAAGTACACAGCAATAGCCTGTTTTGTTTTTTTAAAGAGTCTGACTGTGAACATTGCTTTGTGGGTGCAAGCAATAGGGAGCCACAGCAGGTTCTTGAGCAAGGGAGGTGGTGAAAGGGGTGAAGCACTACTCCTTCAGTAGTCTCCACCAGACTCCATGCTCCAGCCCCTCCACCGGTTGTGAGAAGTGCGAGCCCCAACTTGTTTTGTGCAGCCAACATTTCTGAGCTCCTTGGAGCTGGGTGTTTACCTGGTGCTCTACTGGGAGCTAAACCAACAGCTCGGGTCCTGTGTGTCAGCGTCTGAGCTCCGGCACTGTGGCTTGGGAGGCAGCTGTGACTTGCGCAAGGCACGTCTTGTTCACACGCAGGGCTGCGGCCTCCTGGGAAAACGCTGGGAAACTGCATCACTAAACCCATTCTCTCCTGTGATCCCAGCCCTCGGGAGGCTGAAACAGGAGGATCGCCGCAAGTTCGAGGCCAGCCTGGGTTACAACGGGGAGACCTTGTCTCAAAAACCCAAAATAAAATAAATAACAATAAAATAGCAGCCCTACCGAGACGAGCTCAGATCCTTTCTGAGCTACTCAGGGCCACTCACTTGCATAAGGTAAAGAGTCAGTCCATTTACTACCCAAGGGCGGCGACTGACCAAAAACATCAAAAATAAAACTCATTTATTTTAGGAATGGAATTGATTCGCTTCATTTGTTTACTTGAGGTATTTTTTATTTGTTTTTTGAGACAGGGTCTCACTATGTTGCCCAGGCTGGCCCGGAACTCATGGTGATTCTCCTGCCTCAGCATCCTGGGTGCTGGGCTCACAGGCATCTGCCCACCATGCCCGGCTCAATTCGCTTTATTTGTAAGTAGCTGTGTTATCCCAACCCACTTGCTTTATGACTCACTGAGGGCTTTTATAAGGAGAACTGAAGACATATTCATAAACCTGAGTTATAAACAGCTGTGGCCAAGTTAGGAATTGGCGGGGATTCCTAAGGAAACCGAAATAAACCACTCTGCTCGAAGTAGAAATGAGTGTTTTCCTATGACACGCGGGCAGGTTGTTCCGAGAGAGCAGAGGCCGGACGCTGGGGGAGTCCATGTGGCTGAAGAAGTCCCAGGGGCCTGGCGGGAGCGATGGGTGGGGTCAGAGGAGTCAGGAGCAGTGCCCGGGACGGGTGTGCAGGAAGAAGACTGCACAAACTGGGCTGGTGGGCAGGTGGCCTGTACCGGGCTCAGTGAGGGGCCTGGGGGCTCTGAAAAATGCTCTTCATTCCTTTCCGTTGGAGGCTTAAGGGGTGACAGAAGAGGCCGGGAGAGTTGGGGTTATTTTTTGTGTCAGGCACACACTGCTCACTGTGAATCAGGCGTTCCGGTGAGAGTCTGTACACACGAAGCCCCTTGCCCACATGGCCAGAGATCCTGCCCCTCCCAGTGTCCCCAAGGCCTGGACAGCAGAAATAAACGTTTTTTAAAAAGCCATTTTGTGCGGAGCCTGGTGGCACTCACCTGTAATCCCAGCACTCAGGAGGCCGAGGCAGGAAGATCGTCAAGAGTTTGAGGCCAGCCTGGGCCACACAGTGGGGCCCTGTCTCAAAACCACAACAAAACAAAACACAATGACGGTCATCCCTGGCTGGGAAAGTGCAGCTGTTGAGTAGGAGGAAGCCTCCTGCTCCTCACCCAGGCCTCAGCCAGCAAAGGGGCACCATGCGTGCTGCCAGTACCAGCCCGCGGGGCATCTGGAGGCCGTCTCTCTGCCCCCGACTTTTCTTTTTCCTTTTATTGCATCAGGCACAGGACCTCATAAACTATAGTGTGGTATCAGGAATTTATGTTTCAGTATTTGTTTTATTTTATTTTGTGTGTGTGTGTGATAGGCTCTTGCTGTGGAGCCCAGGCTCAACTAGAATCCACAGCGACCCTACTGTCTCAGCCTCCTCAGTGCTGGGAACCTAACATGAGCCACTGTGCTCAGCCCCAGAGATTTAAAAGTTAGAGGAATTTAAATTTTTCCAAGAAAAAGTGACAGAGTAAAGTGTGAATATCTACAGTAACTTGGAAGTTACGGTGTTTGCAATTATTTAAACTAATGATAAAAATCTTAATAGATCAACCTTAAAAGTTCAAGGAAAAGTGTATCATAGGACTTCTTTTGGAGTATGTGAGCAAAAATGAATAAAACCATGAGTATAAAGAAAACTGCAGGGCTGGGGATCTAGCTCAGTGGCACCACGCCTGCCTCAAAAGTGCAAGGTCCTGAGTTTGATCCCTGGTACCAAAAAAAAAAAAAAAAAAAA